GATATTGTGAATTATTTAGTGTCTAAACAAGCTCCAAGCACACTAAACAAGCACCAACGTGATAAACTTGCAAAGGATGCACGGTTTTATGTATGGGATGACCCGTACTTGTGGAAATATTGCCCTGATCAGATTCTTCGTAGATGTGTACATGATTCAGAGTTTAATTCAATTTTAACTTTCTGCCACACATATGCATGTGGGGGTCACTTTGGCACTCAAAGGACAGCCCTTAAAGTTCTAGAATGTGGATTTTATTGGCCTACTATATTTAAGGATGCTAGAATTTTTTGCATAACCTGTGATCGTTGTCAAAGAACAGGGAATATAGGTCCAAAAGATCAAATGCCGCAGACCCCAATCCACTTTGTCGAAATCTTTGATGCTTGGGGCATCGATTTCATGGGTCCTTTTCCTTCATCTCATGGTTTCAATTATATTTTACTTGCGGTTGATTATGTATCGAAATGGGTGGAAGCGAAAGCCACCCGTACTAATGATTCCAAAGTGGTTGCAGATTTTGTCAAAACTAACATATTTTCCAGATTTGGAATGCCGAGGGTACTTATCAGTGACGGGGGTTCCCATTTTCGCAATCGAACCATAGAGGCGCTGCTTAAAAAGTATAATGTCACACATAGGGTCTCGACACCCTATCACCCTCAAACAAGTGGGCAAGCCGAGGTGTCTAATCGAGAAATCAAGCAGATTTTGGAGAAGACAGTTGGACCCACTAGGAAAGATTGGAGCTTGCACTTGAATGATGCATTGTGGGCGTACCGTACAGCCTATAAAACACCAATTGGGATGTCTCCATTTCGGCTCATCTATGGGAAACCGTGCCATCTTCCGGTTGAGTTGGAGCACAAAGCGCATTGGGCAGTCAAAGCATTCAACATGGACATAGATGCAGCTGGTCTTCATAGGAAGCTTCAATTGAATGAGCTTGAAGAGATTCGGAACGAGGCTTATGAGAACGCTCATATCTATAAGGAGAAAACGAAGGCATTCCATGACAAGATGATTCGTAGCAAGACGTTCTCTATAGGGCAGAAAGTTTTACTTTTCAACTCCCGCCTTCGATTGTTTCCAGGTAAGTTGCGTTCTAAATGGATTGGTCCTTTTGTTGTTACTAATGTCTTCCCTTATGGTGCAGTCCAAATTCAAAGTTTAAAGACAGGGCATGAATTCAAAGTCAATGGACACCGTTTGAAGCCTTATTATGAGTGTTTTGAAGAGCATGTTGTGGAGGATGTACCCCTCTGTGCCGTAGGACCTACTGGAGCTTAAAAGGAGGTATCGTCCGGCTGGAAGACGTTAAAGCAAGCGCTTCTTGGGAGGCAACCCAGGTGTTCGAATAAAAGGACTTTGGAATATTCGGCTCCTACAACCAGATTTGCTCTCTTTTACCCTTCTCTTTATTGTTTTTACTTTGCCATGATTGTCTTGTTTGCTAGCTATCTTTTATTGCTTTCTTATTTACGTTTATTTTTGAAATATTGAGGACAATGTTTGGTTTAAGTGTGGGGGGGTAAACAAAGTTCTTTTCATGAATTATTTTTGAATCCCTATCGCTACTAATGTGGTTATTCACTGTTTTAAAGTGTTTTTGTGTCATTTATAACCAAAAAAAGAGTCGTTTTTGTTGCTTGTTTGTGTCTTAGGGTACCTTCCAACGCAATGATGAGGATTTGGTTTTTAATTGCATGACTGTTATGGAAAGTTGCAAACATGGGTGGAAGTTTGATATGCTCTTTGGTTAATACTTAGTTGTAGTCATCATTTACGAACTCACATGTAAGCACAAAAAGAAAACATCAGTTTTTGTAACATGCTTGAAGGAAGAAACTCAAACTAACGCTACAACCCTGTGAGACTTAAGCCTAGCCTTTGTTTGGAGAGTTATTAATCTGGATATTCTTGTTTTCTAAAGTCGTTGCATGATCTCATTAGTTCTTTGCTTGGTTGCTACTTAGAATGCGTTTTCATCATTTAAGTTCCAAATACTAGAACTCATGCCCGTTTCATTCAAAACGTAAAATGAAGTGCATAACAAATAACAAGATGAAGGTGTGTAGTTACCACCAGAGCCAAAAAGCCTTATCCCTTGCATTTATATTGTAGGTATAACCCCTTTGAGCCTTATTTAGCCTATTTTCCTTGTGAAGCCGGCATTATCCTTACCCAGCCTAGTACAGGAATATCCATACCCTTGTTCTTAAAGAATAGTGAAGCATGACTTGTTGGGAATTCCAGAAAAACAACTGGGGGGGAAGGAATTGTTCTTTTGAGTTGATGAAAAGAGGAGTTTTTGTGTGGTTTCATAAGAAAATTAAAAAAAATAAAAAATAAAAAAATAAATAAAAAGAGAAAAAGAAGAAGAAGAAGAAAATCAAGATGAAAAGAAGTAAGAATGAGTTCACAAGTATTGGTTGTTGAAGAAGGGTCCAAAAATGTGGATCTGACCCTAAAATTGTACGGATCTTCCCTTTGTGTTTAAAGTTTGATGCTGCAATCAAAAGTGAATTCTAAATGTGGATTTCATTCCTTTGCTTCCTATTTCTTTAAGAACCTTTTTGTACCCTTAACCCTTCTTTGTTAGCCAATACCTTAGCCCTGTTATAACCCTTAGACTTTTATCTTGGTTGTTATGTGTTTCAATATGTGGAGTTTGAAATTGGCACGAGCATATGGAATCCCTGGTTTTCGCTTCTAAGTAGTAGCATTCCATTCATGAGATCATATACATGTTGATTTAATAACTTCAGAAAGTGCCTTCTTTGTTATAATATATGTGAGTGCTAGTCTACATGTTTACATCAATCTTCTCACATATACTTAGTATAGGGAGTGTAGTCAGAAAATCTACGTGAAAATAGAGAGTATATCTGGTGAGGAATTGAGGGAATTCTCTAAGGCATGTTACTACATTAATAAAAAATAAATTTATAAAAAAAAAAGTTGTTTTAATTGATCAAATGCGAGCTAGTGAGTGGTTACTGTGATTAAGTACGAGCTCGAGAGTAAGGATGGCTAAAATCTGTGTGAGTAGCGATTTTTAACATGTCAAGTATCATTGGAAATCCCTGAGGCAATTGTTGGAAGGTTTAGGTTTTATTTTGTTTTCTTTGTTTTGCTAGGGACTAGCAAAAGCTAAGTGTGGGGGAATTTGATAGGAGCATATTTATGCGACTTTGCTATCTTATTTCTTTGCATTTACTTAGTTAATTCCCATTTGTTAGAATGATTTAGCTTATTTTCGTACTATTGTAGGTCCAGATGGCAAGATTGGTAAGAAAGGGCATTTTGGGGCATTTTAGAGCAGTTTTGGACTTGGAATGGATAGCATATGCATGGGGCAAGATGGATGGACGTGTTTGAAGTTCAAAGAGGCTAGGAATGTGCTAAAAAGATGGGGAAATTAATTCAAGAATCAGCTTCTTAGAAGAAAGCATTGGGGCCGCACCTTTCTCCTAAAAAGGTGGCGCCTGGGCCCTATCCTTGTTCCAGAAGAAATCTGCCAAACAAACCCTAATTTCTAGGGTTTCTGCTGGGCCCTTTTACCCTAGATCTACCACATATTTAAAGGAGGGGTTGCCGCAGGAAAGAGGAGTTTTTGAGGGGCCGTAGCAAGAGAGGAAAAAAAGAGAAGAACTTGGAGACGCAACCTGCTGCATCCATTGGGGTTTTCAGAGTTCTTCTTCCCTATTTTAGTTAAATGTTTATTCTAGATTGCTTTTCAGTTATTATGAACATGTATTCTAGGGCAGCTGAAGGCAAGACCGATGAGTTTGAATTGAAGTCGAGTTTGCTACATCACATTCCCAAATACCATGGGCTGTCCATGGAAGATCCAAACAAGCATTTGAAGGAATTCGAAGTGGTATGTTCAAGCATGACACCAATCAACGTGGATAGCAACATTCTAAAGATGAAAGCCTTTCCATTCTCTCTTTTGGAAAAGGCTAAGGATTGGCTCTTTGAGTTAGCACCTGGAACCGTCACTTCTTGGGAAAGCATGAAGAGCGCATTCTTAGAAAAATTCTTCCCAACTTCAAGAGTCATTCTTTTGAGGAAGAGAATTAGTGGAATTCAACAAGGCCCGGGAGAATCCTTCCCAGCATATTATGAGCGTTTCAAGACTTTAGTTGCATCCTGCCCACAACATCAAATGAAGGAAGAGCTTTTAATTCAATATTTCTATGAAGGACTACTTCCACTCGAGAGACAAATGCTTGATGCTTCAGCAGGAGGTGCGTTGGTTGACAAAACACCAGTTGCAGCGAAGATCTTAATCACAAACCGAGCCTTGAATGCACAACAATACGAAGGAGTTGGAGAAAGAGATCATACACGGCCAAGTCAAGTTAATGAGGTAAGTGCTATTTCAGAACTTCAATCTCAAATGGCTAATCTCACTACTCTTATTTCACAGGTTGTTGAAGGATCCAAAGTGCAAGGAAGTAGTACTTGTGGCGTGTGCTCTGTGCAAGGACACCCCTCTGATCAATGCCCTCAATTAATAGAGAATGGGGGATGGGAAAGTGCCAACGCCATTGGGTATCAAGGCCACAATCAGCCAAAGTATGATCCATACTCCAACACTTACAATCCGGGCTGGAGAGATCATCCAAATATGAAGTGGAGGGACCCTCAACAAACTCAACAACAAGGCGGATATAGACAGCCACCTCCAGGACTCTATCAGAGGCCATTCGCACCACCACTCCCACCACAATCTGCCCAACCAAATTCAGGTACGTCTTTGGATAATGATAAAGTTCTTCAAGTACTAACCTCTTTGACTCAGGGTTTGCAAAATCAAGCCAAAGAAATGGGCGAAGTGAAGAAGCAAATTGGGCAAATGGCGGAATTCATGGGACAGTTCAGAGAAGAAGGTAAACTACCTAGTTCAACCATCGTCAACCCAAAGGGAGGTTTTGAAACGGCTAAAGCTGTCACCTTGAGAAGTGGTAAAGAGGTTGGAACCAATCCCAAAACTTCCAAACAAAGCCAAAAAGAGGACGAACAGCTGCTGCCCGAAGGAGACGAGATGAACAAGGCCACGGCAAGGGAAGAGCAACCCTTGTCGCAGCCTTCTAAGGCTCCTACAGCACCCAAATCGGGTAAGGTTGGTTCGAATTCAATTCATTTTAACCCCATTCCACCAAATGTGCCTTTCCCTTGCAGGTTTATGCAATCTAAGAAGGAAGAGAATGAAAAAGATATCTTAGAGACCTTCAGGAAAGTACAAGTCAATATTCCCCTTCTTGATGCAATAAAGCAAGTTCCAAAGTATGCTAAATTTTTGAAGGAGCTTTGTACAACAAGGAGGCGGATCTCGAACAAGGAAGTGGTACAGGTAAGTGAGAATGTTTCTGCAGTTTTGCAACGTAAGCTGCCACCTAAATGCAAAGACCCAGGTAGTTTCACAATCCCTTGTGTTATTGGTAATACCAAGTTTGAAAAGGCCATGTTAGATTTGGGTGCTTCCATTAATGTCATGCCATACTCAATTTATGCATCTATGAACCTAGGAGAGCTTAAAAACGATGGTGTTATAATTCAATTAGCCGATCGTTCTAATGCATATCCGAAAGGAGTCTTGGAAGATGTTTTGGTGCAGGTTAATCATTTGATATTCCCAGCAGATTTCTATGTGCTTGAGATGGAAGATTCGGCCCATTCTACACCATTGCCAATCCTACTTGGAAGACCCTTCATGAAGACAGCTCGCACCAAGATAGATGTGTTCAAGGGGACGTTGACAATGGAATTTGATGATATTGGCTCTTAGGGCACATTTCTAACAGTGTTGTGGGGTGATATTTAATATTTCATTTTTATTTTCATGTTTTAATTAATTGAATGAAAAATTTGGGGGCAATGTGATGGGGCAATTATGGATTTGTGTTCAACCCCATTTCAAACTTTAAAACTCCTTTATTTATTTTTCTTTCTTTTTGGTTCCTGATAGTGGTGCCAGGTGTTGCAATCTAAGCCACTGATTGCATTAAGAATAATGAGTATCAACAAGTCATAGCTCTCCATTCGTGTGTGGTGCCACATGGAAGCATGTGCTCTCAAGAAAGAAGTAGCAAATCAAGTTGATTTACATCTTAAATTATTTTTAAATTATTTATAAACAATAAATATAAGAACGTGTACCATGTCCAGTGAATAACGTAAAATAAAGTTACTCATGTATCTTACCGTGCAATTTATAAAGTATAAAATATTGTAGTAAAAATGATAAATAAATTACTAGAGGGTGTTTAATTTTCTTTCATTAATTACTCCAGATTTTCTAAGTCACATCATTTATCCGCTCGCAATAATCAACTTAAATCACTCAAACCCACTATGCAATGCATTTCCTTCCAATCTTTTGTGTCAAAATAATAGATGACTGACTAAATAAACTTTTTTATAAAGTTTCATTAAAAATTTCCACGTATTTATCACAATTTCCGTGGTTTTTGTCCAATTTTTATTGATATCGATATTTTCCCGATATTTCCATCGATATTTCCGTGTTTTTGAACCACCGATATTTCCGAAACCTTCGATATTTAAGACCTTGATTGTAACAGCAACAATAAAAGAAATAAAAATTCATGTCTCCTCCTTCTTAAGTTTTTTGTTTTGTTTTTCTATTGTTTTTCTACTAAGTAATAATATTTACCAATCTATCGCTTTGGCGCTTTTTTTCAATCTTTTAATTTTATTTTTTCCAATATATCAAGGATTTCAATATCAAAAATTGAAAAAACTAATTCTTAAATTCATAAAGGGCTAAGGGAAGAAAAAAAATCATAAAGGGCACTCAAAATCAAATAGTCAAATTGAAATCTCAATTTAAATTCAAGCATATATCTAAATTTCAATCTACATGACATGTCTCATCATGCTGATTTTTTACAAGTCTTTATATATTTAAATTTTACTATATACAAGTCTTTATATAGTTAACGAGCACTGAAAGGAAAACCTAGTCCTTATACTGAACATACTGGTATTTAAGTTTCTCAAATTGAAATGTCAAAAATTTTATTAATTTGATTTGCGATTTGCATGCTAATTGATGATGATTTTTTATTTAAAAAATAAAATTGTTGTATAAGTTTATGTTAGATTATGTGAGAGTCTCGGTCTAAGTTTCGCACAGGGCCCCCAAAATCTCAAGCCCGGCCTTGACCATAGGAGGACTCACTGGAATAGTGTTCGGTTCATTTTTACACATGATTTTTCATATTATTCACCCACTATTTTGAGTTAGTTCTTGACATTTTATAGCTTTTTACTTCCTTTTTGTGTTTTCTTAGATTTTACCTTGGTTGGAATGAAAATGAGCTAAAAATGTATTATTAGTTATAAATTTTGTTTTTGTTCATTTTCGTAGGTCAACTTCTTGGCCTGGGATCAACATGCTCTGGTGCTCGAATGAGGTCATGATCTTCATGAGACTTGTTCCAATGGATGTTAACTACAACATATCCAAATTTGAGCTCCATTGGACAAGTATTGCCTATCCAACCAATCCAGCATGTTACCACAGCTCTGGAAATCCGATTTTGGCCAGCTTTCACCTCCTTTGTGTCATCTTAATTTCTTGTTACCACAACTCTTGGTAACAAGGAATTACCTTTGTAAAAGAGATATATTCTGAAGCATTTGGCATCTTTGTGAAGTCAAAGCTTCATCATGGCAAGGGGACAATGGGCAAAGGCTTTAGAGGAAAGAATGAGTTTTATATTAAAAGTGTGAGCTGGAAATGATGGGAAAAGGAGCAAAGGGAGTGCAATCTGAAGTGGGAGAGGTTTTGAACGTGGGGAATGAATTCATTCTATGATTCTAGACATGGAGAGCAGATTTTGGAGAGCTGGGAGCTAGGAGAAAGCCAAGGTGTAGCCAAGCAAAGTGGAGAAGAAAGCTTCCACCATTGATGACCTTGAAGCTTTCACAATTTTCTCAAAATCTGTAAACTCTTTCTAATTTTATTTTGAATTTGTATTTGGAATAAGTATGAGCAACTAAACTCCATAGCTAGGGCTTAAGTTGAAGCCCTAAACATGATTACCTTATTATTTTGATGCTTGAGTGTATGAATTTCTGGATATTGTTGATGAATTCCAATTCACCAAATTAATCTATCCTTGATGTGTGTTTTCCTTGATTGATTACCTTTGAAAGCATGCTTCTTGAGGTTGTTGGGATTATGTGTATCATCATGTTTTCCTAAGCAATAGATGGATGGAGTAAGAACCATCCATGTGAATTGGTTTCTTGAATACCTAATGTAAACACCATGCTATTAGGATTCTTGTGATGCTCATATTCTCTTTGAACTTAATGGGTTTTCCTTGCAATCGAATCGAAGTACGAACCATACCTAGGTTCGGTTATAGGGAGGGCACAAGTATTGTAGCACGAACCATGCACCTTACGTATATTAGAGAGAATCAATGCGTCTTGAGCCACGACCCATGGTCTTGATTGCGAACATCTTCATCAACAAGTTTAGAGTTCATCACTTGAGTATCCATGAACATAGGTAGAATTGTTTAGGGTGGATTCCGAAACCCTAGGGTTTGTTACATTTTAATTTCACATTTTGATAATTCATCTATGCCATTCACATTTAAATTCAAAGTCCATTTACTTTCATGCAATAGAAACAGGTCACTTGAACCAAATCAAAAAACCCCCCCCAATGTGTGTGTGAGTTGCGTGTTCGACACGTTATGTGTCTTTGTTACTGAATTTT